CTCTGCCCCAGTTGGCTTAACCACAGCTAGGCAGTGGGTGGGGGAGATATCACGGATTGGTACATGGTCTCTAGATGCTGCTGGTGTAGGTGGAGAGAGACTGTGGGTTGCTGGACAGCCCTGGAGGGGTTGAGATGAGGGCCCTGGGGTTCAGCTAGACTGGCCAAAAGGCAGAAGAAGGGCAGCCTTGAGGGCTAATCACGCCAGGGTGTAGGCAGGGCTCTCCTTGCTGTTACAGGCCTTTCTATGTCTGGCCTGGTGAAAACTCCTGCTGATCTTTCAAGCCTCAGTGCAGACAGCCCTCCTCCCTGCTCTCCCAACCCTGTACATTCCAAGCATGTTAATATGTCCTGTTTAGACCCAACTCAGGGCCTTGCAGTGTCAGGTCACCACATTCTTTCCACTGCTGCCACTCCCTGGCTATGTGCGGAGAGACATGGCCATAATCTCAATTTTCCTTCAACCCCCCTCACCCCTCCACACACCCAAGGGGAAAGCGTCGTAATCTCCATTGTCTACCAAACCTCCATGTGGAGGCATTGTCATAACCTACTTTTTCCATCAACTATTTCACTGTCCCAAACCCTCATGGAGAGTTCATGAGATTCTCCATTTTCTATCAATTCACTTTACCCTTCCAACCAATCACGAAGATGGCACTGTCAAATATGTATTAACCTGTTAATATTTTATTGGATTTGTAAAATTTAGTTTAGAATTTTTGCATCTATTCTCATGAGACCTATTGGCCTATAGTTTTCTCTTCTTGTGACGTCTTTTTCTGATTTTATTATGAGGGTAATGATGGTCTCATAGAAGGAGTTGGGAATTATTCCCTCCTCTTCACTTTTCTGGAAGAGCTTGTGTACAATTGATGTTATTTCTTCATTAAATGTTTGGTAGAATTCACCAGTGAAGCCACATGGCCCTGGAATTTTTTTTGTTGAAATATTTTAATTACAAATTCAATTTCTTTAACATATATAGGAGTATTCAAGTTTTTAATTTCTTCTTAAGTGAGCTTTGGTAGTTTGTATCTATCAAAGAATTTGTCTATTTCATCTAAATTGTCAAATGTATTGACATAATGAATAATATTTCGTTTTTAACAACTGTAGGATCTGTAGTTATGTTATCACTTTCATCCCCGATATTGGTAATTCGTGTCTTTTTTTTTTTCTGATCAGTCTATCTAGAAGTTTATTGATCTTTTTATCAATCTTCTCTAAGAACATGATTTTGGTTTCATTGATTATCCCTGTTGTTTTTCTGTTTTCTAAGTCATTGATTAACACTCTAATCTTTTTTATTTCCTTTTTTTCTGTTTACTTGAGGTTTAATTTGCTCCTCTTGTAATTTCATAAAGTGCAAGCTGAAGTCAGTGATTTGATCTCTTTCTTCTTTTCTAATATAGGTGTTTAGTCCTATAACTTTCACATTAAGTTCTCTTTAAATGCTTCCCCAAATTTTGGTATGTTGTATTTTCATTTTTATTCAGTTCAAAATACTTTGTAATTTCCCCTTTGATCTCTCCTTTTTTTTCCATTGATTTCTAATTTAATTCCAGTGTGGTCAGAGGATATTGTGAAAATAAGCAAAGGAAACCTAAATCAAAATGGAGTTGGGAAACTGTGAAGGGAGGGCTCTCACTCACGTGTCACTCACCACAGCTTACAGACCCCAGCGGGAAGAAAGATTTCCTTCTGACCCAGCAACAAGCTGCCCACCACTTGCAGCCAATGAAAACTGCCACAGCCCTTCCCAGTTTCCTCCTAAAACCTAATAGACGCTGACCTTCCCTTTTTCTTTTTCAGACTTGCTTATGGTTCACCATAGTTTGTTTGTCCTGAATTTCAATTCCTCTGCTAATTCCAAGTAAACTCATTTTGGCTGGCTAAAGACCTTGTTATTTCATTTTTAAGGTCAACATTTCATGGCGACCACACAGGAAGGGACCCTAAGGGGATAAACCCCTGAGGAACTAACAACCCTCAGAACCACGTGCAATACCCACTGGAGACCTTTGTGCTCTCTGCTTCCGTGAGTCGTCTTCTTCCTTTCAGTATGGTAAGTTTCCCCTGAGATTCGAGCTTTTTGGTCAAGCTCTCCAACACTATTTGGGATCTGTTTTCTTGAAGACATCGTCCTTTTGGTGAGTACTCATTTATTTTTCTGAACTTCTAAGTTAAGATTATGGGATCCCAATTTTCTAAACACTTTCAGGATGGCCCTCCTTCTGGGACCCTGGCTGGTTTTAAGTTAAAAGCAAAGGTCTCTCCTCATGTGCGTTTTTAACTAAATGGACCAACCTAACCAAAGATCATTTAAGACTTCAATGGCCTTTATGGGGAAACTTGGATCTCCCCAAAATTGGTTTTTCTCAGAACTAAACTTGAAGACTGTGGCTCTAAAATAAAATAAACTGAATGAGATGTCTATTTCAATTGGTATCTTGAGGCTTCCAAGTGTATTTGTAACCAAGCAGAAAGGGGCTCGTTCTGCTCGCCACAATCTGGTGCCAATCAATTACAAACAAGGTGGTGGTTGAGAAAGGAAAGTTTATACAATGAGCTAGCATAATCAGAAGATAGTGGACTAGTGTCCTAAAGATCCATCTTAAAATCATACAGAATCTTGAGACAGTTATAAAGGGGAAAAAAGGTCTAGGGATGTCTAGCATCCAGTGTGACAACCTTCAAGGCGCTGCATTGTCTCTTTCTTCTGTCATTCTTGATGGGAACCTACACAGAATTTTTCTTTCTGGAGGTCGTCATGTTCCTGGGGAACTCGGAGAACAAAGTTACTGTCTTACCACAGCTGGGAGATATACGTAAGCCAGAGTCATAGAACTAGTAGATCATGTGTTTTGCAAAAGTGAGAGTTGCTTAATCGTCTAGGCTACATGCAAGCTAGAATGTATTCACAGAGACTAGTGAGTCAGGGTCATATGTAGTTACAATATTGCTTCCTTTCCGCAAGATGGCTTTCCTCATGCTAACTTAAGATCTAGCTGTTACATATTCAGGAATCTAAAACTGCCTCCTTACAAAATACCATTGCTAAATTGACGGAGGCAAATAAACAACTGAAAGAAGATGAAAAGGCATCGGAGGCCTCTTCACCCCCTTCGCTCCCTGCACTAAAACTTCCTCTTTCCCTACTGCGCCTACCCCACCTTCTTTGTACCCTCAACTTCCTCATTCCAACCCTCTCGCTGAACATCCCTTTTTCTCCAACCTCTCCCTACCTATTCCTCATCCACACCTGTTAGAACCTACTCCTTTAAAACAGACCCTCTGAGGGTCCTAATGCTAACCTCCTAATTTCCTGTGTCCCCTGTACTAAGGCTGAACTATCAGTCACAGAGATTTTCCTTGAGTTACTGAAGGCCCTCATTGATTTGCCGAGGAATTCAGACTTACCAACCAGGTTTCTCAGATTTATATCAGCTCGTTCACATGCTCATTGGCAAAGGCCAAGCCCAACACTGGAGGAAAACAGCTAATCGGGATGATCCTGAAAAACCCCTAGAACTGCAAATAAGAGACCAACCCCCTGCCTTGTTATATGATCTGGGTTGGGCAATCACTAAACAACTTCACCTGGCAATCCCTAGGGCTTTCCCAAAACCTGTTGATTGGAATAAGATTCAGGCTTGCACTCAGAAACCCAGTGAACCTGTGCACATCTATTACAGTTGACTCCAAATTGTTTTTAAGGAGAATTCTAGTCTCCCTGGGGATGACAAATCCACTCGGGCAGCTTCAACTCTGTGTTCATTAATGGGCTAAACAGGGACCTTTCTCTCTTGGTTAAGAGAACCAGAATAGAATGGGAAACTATGTCCACTCCAGACTTAGTTAATTTGGCGAACCAATTAGTCCACACCCTAGGTGACTCTACTAAGAAAAAGACCATTAAAATCCTTAACCTCCAACTTCAACAGATGGAGGCCCATAAGCAAAATCCTCCCAGCCTCAGTCATTATTGGAAGAAGCCAGGATATTGGAAAAAAGACTGCTATAAACAAAAATACTCCAGGCATCTTCAGTCACCCAACCAATCTTTCCAATATTTTCCCACTTCCCAATGATGGGACTCTAGGGAATTACAGGGCCTTTTCCAAATGCTTCCTCTAAACCAGCTTGGAGAAACAACTCTCCAGGTTGGAAATAAATTTCTATCCATCCTTATTGATACTGCAGCCACACTCTCAGTGTTCAACCCCACTACTATTAAACAGCCCCTGCCTCAGAGTAATAAAATGATTCAAATAGTGGGAGTCTGTAATAAACCTCAACAAGTCAAGAAAAAAGATATTGAATCAAAAGTGCTCAGTGCTCTTTTAACAGGAGTGAATAGGGCATACCTTTATGCCCAGGCTGGTGATGACAAAGTGAGGAAGCAGGTTGACAAACTAAAGTGTTTCATATTGTGAATTTTTATACCAGTGCACAGGCTTTAATGTTGCTTTTCCGAATAATGAATTCTCAGAAGACAATATCAGACAGATATTATGCAGCATTTTTAGGAAGATGTTGGCTCTGGGGTTAATGTTGTGTTTCCAAAATACAATCCAGGAAAATCTGTCCACACTGCTCCCAGGCACTTTAAATTGCCTAATGGGCCATTCGAGGTTTGGCAAATGCATTTCATACAGCTGCCTCTATCTCATGGGTATAAATATGTCTTGGTAACGATTTGCATGTTTTCTCATTGGATCAAAGCTTTTCCATGTAGGAAGGCCACTGCCTCCTCCATGACTAAGGTCCTGTTGGAAAGGCTCATTCCTACCTGGAAAACCCCTTTTGAACTTCACAGTGATCACGGAACCCAGTTTACTGGTCAAGTACTACAAGTCTGTGCCGTTTGGCCAGTTCTACAACATTTTCACTGTGCTCATTATCCCCAGTCTGAGACTAGTCACATGTACCAATAGCATCATCAAAACCCAATTGGCATGGGCCAGCCCCGTGGCTTAGCGGTTGGGTGCTGTGCACTCCACTACTGGCGGCCCGGGTTCGGAACCCCGGGCGCACACCGACGCACCACTTCTCCGGCCATACTGAGGCCGCGTCCCACATACAGCAACTAGAAGGATGTGCAACTATGACATACAACTATCTACTGGGGCTTTGGGGGAAAAAATAAATAAATAAATAAAATTATAAAAAAAAAAAACCCAATTGGCAAAGTTTGTAAAGACCCTTCAAATACCCTTGCCAAAAGTATTGCAATTGGTCCTTCTGAACCTTGGGGCCACTCCTTTTGGAACCCACAAACTCTCACTCTTTGAAATAATTACTGGGCGCCTGAGGAATCTAGCTCCTGCCTCTTTTGATTCACAGCTGATAAAAGGAGATATACTTCAATATTGTGAAGGCCAAATTTCATCCATTGAGAGTAACCATACATTAGTAGAACAATCTTTCCACAGCATGCCCCTGGGAGACAAAGACTTTAAGCATCACACCTTACAACCTGGAGATTTTCTCTATTGGAAAAGACATCTCCAGAAACACTCTCTTCAACCCCATTGGAAAGCCCTCTATCAGGTACTGTTAACCAATCCTCATGCTACTAAACTCCAAGGAATAGACTCTTAAATCCATGATCACACTGAAAGAAAGCACCAAACCCTGACTGGACCTGCATGCCAACTGGTGACCTAAAAGTGAAGATTCCCAGGACTTGAAGCAGATGACAGCTGAAGGAGACAGCTTTCCCCAAGATGACTGGATCAGGACTGTATATCTCTTTCCCACTGTTACTTTTTGCCTTATTTTCTCCCCCTCTTTCTTAGAAAGACAATGCTCTTATCCATATTTCCCAATCCATTGTCAAAGGAAGAAAGCTTTCCGATTGTTGGATTTCCCACCAGAAACCCCAATCTATCCACAACAGCAGTGTCCCTCTAGTATTATCTTGTCTGCTTGTCGTAACAAAATAACCCCTCTTTGTGTAGCTTTTGTGCAACCCTTCCTTGTGCAATCCACAGAACAGAATTATGTCTCCTCAAATATTCCCTAAACACCACTGACCCTTGGCTCAAAAGACCCAGTTGACAAATCACTGTTAACAATCAAACGCTCATAGGGGTCTTCTTTGCACCACCTGGTTTCATCTTTGTGGCGAATGGAACTCTCAGTGGGCCTATGAATGTTTGGCGAGATGACGAATGGGATGCCAATGTTTATTAGGATATTTAACTGTCCCTGTTAATATCTATAATAAATCTGAAGCTTCCCAATGATCTTTCTCACTAAACCTTCATAAGCATCTTAATCGGGAGCTAACCAGGGGCATACATGACTCCAGATTTGCCTCCATAGGGAAAGCCTTTCTCCCTTGAGTTAGAGTAAGTGCCAATGAGTATATGATCAGAAATCTCTCCCTAACATTAGGAAAGCTAGCCAATTCCACAGCCAAAGCAATGCAGCCCCACAACAATCACTTGACTCATTGGCTAAAGTAGTTTTAGATGCATAGGCCTTGATTACTTACTTGCTGAATAAGGAGGCATTTGTGTGATATCAAATACCACCTGTTGCACATGGATAAACACCTCTAGAGAAGTAGAAACTGTCACACAAGATCAGGGAACAAGCACGCTGGTTACAACAAATTTCACTTGACTCACTATGGTCCTTTGATTTGTTCAATTGGCTACCTTCAGGTCTAGAGTCATGGTTTAGGATCATCATACAAACTGGATTTGTCGTGTTACTTTTAATTCTGCTTTGCATAATTATTTTTAAAGTTTGTACCTGTTGCCTGTCAAATCTCTACAGAAATGATGCACTGAATAGAATGATGTTGGTTCAGTGCTTTGAGATGATTGCCAATGCTTATAATCTTGACAAGATATGATCTCAAGAGTGAAAATGCCTGAGAGGTCCCCCCTTTACTTTCCTTGTTACTCAAATATGGCCTCAAATGGTTTCCAGTCATGTACTTTCTCTCTAACACAGGACATAACATCTAGGAAAGGTGCTTCCAGTCAAGGGACAAAACATAATTCCACTAAAACTGGATAACCTGACTTTTGGTCAGTGATGCTTTTAAGGAAAGATCTTTATCAAAAGGGGAAAATGTGAAAATGAACAAAGGAAACCTAAATCAAAATAGAATTGGGAAGCCATGAAAGGAGGGCTCTGAAGCATATGTATCACTCACCGCAGCTCACAGAGCCCAGCAGGAAGAAAGATTTCCTTCTGATCCAGCAACAACAAGCTGCTCACTGCTTGCAGCCAGTGAAAAACCATCCTCCCTAATTTCCTCCTAAAACCTGATAAACAGTGACCTTCCCTTTGTCTCCCCAGATTTGCCTATGGTTCACCATAGTTTGCTTGTCCCAAATTGCAATTCTTCTGCTATTCCTGAAAAAGCTCATTTTGGCTGGCTAAAAACCTTGTTACAGGAATACCTTGTTTTATTGTACTTCACTTTATTGCACTTCACAAATATAGTGTTTTGTAAAAGACCCTCCACCAGCAAAAAGATTGTGACTCACTGAAGGCTCAGATGATGGTTAGCATTTTTTAGCAATAAAGTTATTTTTTAACTAAGGTATATACGTTGTTTTTTAAGACATTAATGCCATTGCGCACTTCATAGACTGCAGTACAGTGTAAACAACTTATGTGTGCACTGAGAAACAAAAAAATTTGTGTGGCTCACTTTATTGTGATATTCGCTTTATTGCCGTGGTCTGGAACAGAATCTGCAAAATCTCCAAGGTATGCCTGTATTTCATTTTTAAGGTTGACCATATATTTAGTATGATTTGAATCATTTAATCTTATGGAGACACTTTTATGGTGTAGAATATGTTCCATCTTGATAAATGTTTTTTGTGTACTTGAAAAGAATGTGTAATCTGTTCTCGTTGGGTGACATTTTATATAAAGGTCAATTTGGTCAATTGGGTGTTAGTGTTCTATCAATTTTTTTTAGAGGATTTTAAAATCTCCTCCTATATTGTAGATTAGTCTATTGCTCCTTTCATTTCTATCAGTTTTTGCTTTATGCATTTTTGAAGCTCTATATTGGGGTACATGAGCATTTACCATTATGTCCTCTTGATAACCTCTTTATAACTATGAAATGACCCTCTTTATCCCTAGTACTAGTCTTTCTTTAAAAATCAGCTCTCTCTGACATTAATACAGCCACTCTAGCTTAAACTTAATTAATGTTAGTATGGCATATCTAATCTCATCCTTGTACTTATAACCTATTTATATTTTTATGCTTAACATGGATTTTCTCGAGGCAGCATATATATGGATCTTGCTTTTATATCCAATCAGCCTTTTAATTAGAATGTTTAGATCATTTACATTTAATTTGATTATTGATATGATTGGGTTTAAATCTATCATCTTGCTATTTATTTTCAATTTTCCCCATCTGCTCTTTGTTCCCTCTTCCAATTTTTCTATGTTCTTTTGGATTATTTTTACAAATTCATTTTTCTCCTTTGTTGGCTTACTGTCTATAATTACTTATTAATTTTTGTTGTTGTTTAAGGGTTTATAGTATCCATATTTAACTTCCTTTCACAGTCTACCTTCAAGTAATGTTGTATTATTTCACACGTAACATAAGAACCTTACAAGAGTTTCTATTTCTCCTCTCTTGGCCTCTGTGTTATTGTCATACATTTATATATTCTATTATATATATTATATAACATAATATATGTAATGCTATATATTATAAACCCTATGATCCATTTTTATTATTTTTGCCTTAAGCAGTCAATGATCTTTTAAACAAATTTAAATAATGAAAAGTTATACTTATTCACCTACTTACCATTTCTAATGTTCATCGTTTCTTGGTGTAGATCCAAATTTCCATTTGGTCTTCTTGTCTTTCTGCCTGAAGAATTTCCTTCAAAATATCTTCTAGTGAAGCACTGCTGGAGATAAATTCTTTCAGCTTTTGTATGTCTGAAGCAAAGGATTTATTTTGCCTTTATTTTATTTTTGAAAGATATTTTTGCTCAGTGTAGAAGTCAAGATTGTTAGGTTTTTTCATTCAGTACTTTAAAGATATTGCCCCATTGTTTTCTCCCATGCACTATTTCCAAGACATCTGCTATCATTTTTATCTTTGTTCCTCTACACATGTCTTTTGCTCTGGATGGCTTTAAGATTTTCTCCTTACCACTAGATTTGACAATCTGATTTTGAAGTGCCTTGATGTAATTTTCTTCATGTTTCTTATGCTCTAAGGTCATGGAACTTTTTGGATCTATGAGTTTATTGTCTTTATCAAATTTTGAAAATATTTAACCATATTTCCTCAAATATTTTTTCTGTTCTGCTCCCCCTTCCAAATTTGGGGACTCCAATTACACGATATTAGGTCTATTAAAGTTTTCCCATTTCTGTTTATTCTTTTTTCTCTATGCATTTTATTTTGGATTATTTATAAAGATTTGTCTTTAACTTTACTAGTCTTTTCCTTTACAATGTCTAATCTGCTGTTAATTTCATCCAGTGCCCTTTTTATTCCAGTTATTGTAATTTTCATCTCTTGAAGCTACATTTGTATCTTTTCACATCTTATTTAACATGTTCAATCTTTCTTCTATCTTCTTGAACTTACAGAATATAGCCATAATAAACTATTTCAATATCCCTGTCTACCGATTCTATCATTTGTATCATTTCTAAGTTGATTTCAATCCATTGAATTTTCTCATCATTATGGGTCATATTTTTCTGCTGCTTTTCAGCTAGTGTAGCTGGCATAATTGCAAGATGACCCCAATGACCAATGCCCTTTTATAATCCCCTAGCTTTGTGAAGGAATATCATTCTCATAATTATATTACATTATATATCAAAAGAAACATGAAATTTTGCAGATGAAATGTAAGTCTGAAATCAATTGAATTAATCAAGAGATAAATTGTATTTGGTGGGCCTGACCTATTTAGGTGAGCTCTTAACAAGGAATCTAGAAGGCAGAGACAGAGAAAGTCAGAAAAATGTTTCTGATGGCCTCGAGGAAGACGTGATCTCATGAGTTCTACAGCTGTGAGTAAATGAATTCTACCAACAGTCAAATGAACTTGAAAAGGACCCTAAGCCTCAAATGAGACTACAGCCCTGGCCAACACCTTGATTACAAACATGGAAGGCCCTAAGCAGAGAACCCCGTTGAGACTCACCCAGACTTCTGACATACATAACTGTGAGATGATAAACAGATGTTGTCTTCAGCCAGAAAGTTTGTGGTAATTTGCTATGCAACAATAGAAAATTAATACCCTGGTAATATTTTATTGTATGCCAGTTATTATTAATTTTAACTTGTTTAATCTGTATTCCTGTAAATATTTTTGATCTTTGTCCTTAGATACACTTCAGTCACTTGGCAACAGTTTGATCCTTTCAGGGGTTGCTTTTAAGCTTTCCTTGGTGGAACCAGAGCAGTATTTAGTCTAGAACTAATTTTTTCCTGACTACAGAGCCAAACATCTTACCTGATTCTCCATAAATAATGAGATTTTCCCCTCTGGCTGTTGGGACAGGAAATTTTCCAGGCCCTGTGTTAGCTCCAGATATGTTCCCTCTAATTCTTTTGGGTAGTTTTTTCTCCAACTTTGGCTAGTTTCAGACATATGCACTCACTGATCAGTACTCAGCTGAAGACTCAGGGATACCCTCTGCCAATCTCCAGAGTGCTCACTCTCTCTCTGTACCTCTTTCCTCTCTGGCACCCTGCCCTGAAAACTCTAGCTGCCTTGGTCTCACCACCTACTCAGCCCATGGGTCCTCGACTCAGGGAGCAGCTGGGGTCTTCCAGGCTTCCCCTTCCCTGCACCATTGCCCGGAACCTCTCTCCAGACTGCTGGGGGAATTGTAGGGCTTATTTCCTTTGTTTCCCATCTCTTAGAGATCACTCTCTTTTATTTCTTTATACCCAATATCTTGATGATTATATATTTTTTCTAGTTTTTTAGATATTTCAGGCAAGAGAGTATATCCTATTGCTCTTACTCCATCTTACCAGAATTGCCTATACTTCTTTGTATTATTATTATTTTAGTTATTGCTCTAGGATTGCAATATACGTCCTTAACTTTTGATAGTCCCCTTACATTTAATTTTGTACCAACCAGATAAAATACAGAAACCTTGAAGCCATTTGTTCCATATGCTCCTCATGATTTATTTTATAATTATTATATACAATACTACGTTTGTTATAAATTATTCAAGACATGATTATAATTTTTCTTTGAATACTTATATGATTCATATAAAGAAATTAAGAGGAAAAAAGCAAAGAAAAAGTATT